GGTATCAGAGAGCAGCCACGAGTTTGAGCATTGCTCACCGCATGGGAGAGGCTCCTATTACACGGGCCCACCGCCACATAACCAGTCACCCGTGGAGGGTCGAAACCAGGTCCAACATTCCAAGCCTAAGAGAACTAGCCAAGTAATCCCCAGGTGTTGCTAATCACCATTAATTCTAACAATAACAGGTGAATTCGAGAAGAGAAATTGAACCCAGATATTTGGGGGACACTTCGATCACCCTCAACCTCATAAACATAGCCCTTAGTGATTCATTAATAGATTTTTAATGGCGCAGAAGTTCTATCCCAGAAACCACAATAACTCTGATTCACCACTAAAATTGTAGATCAATTTATCAAAGATTTCAAATTTAATATCATGTCCAAGCCTCATTAAACAAAGGAAGGGGGAAAGTTACCACAAAAATGAATAAGAGAAATTTGATCTAAGAAACAATTTAGAAACCAGATTAAATAAGCAAAACAGTTGAACAAGTTAAGACCCATATCAGCTTTCAATGAAAGTGAACACATCCCATGAGGAGGCATCTCCTCGTTAAGGACATCCATGCCATGTGAAATATGAGGGGTTCCTACTCATACTTTAGTAGTAAGACTAACCTAATAATAGTTGGCGCACAAGTTTATCATGTTCAGTTTATCACCAAGTGTTTTGTCTCATTTCATTCATGCTTCAAATAACAACAATAGTACTGAGATATTATAATAGAAGCATTATTAGTAGTAGGCTAGTTAGGTACGTAGTAGCTAAGTTGTAGAACTAGTCGTATCACCTTCAAGCGTACCATCACTGATCGTAGAGCAAAAAAGAAAATAATCATATTGAAATTTGATGTACATAGATACAATCAAAAACACTGGTAGAAGTTATTAAAAGGAAGAAAGTCTGATAATTAATCTTCATGTTTTAGATACTATAGAATTATATGAACCTAGGCCTGGGCAAGTGGTTCGGCCAGTTCAGGCCTGTGACCGGCCAACCGAATTCAAGACCGGGTTGGGTCCGACCTGAGCCCACTTGGATCAGAACAAATTGGGCATATTTCTCTGATCTCGCGTCCAGGACTGGACCCAGTCGGGCCCGGTCCACTGCCCACAGGTCGTGGGGTCGGCCTGTGGATTTTCTAACTTTTTTCTATTTTTTTATTTTTAATTTCTAAACTATATTAGCTTTATATTAGTATCTATTAAATTATGTTTAAATTATTTTTCCATTTTACTCTTATTATTTAAAATGATATATACACACTCATATTGTACAAAGATAAATATCACAAAGAAAAACATTGCAAACACAAAGATATACTGGTCCGGACTTTGAAGGAAGGCCTACCTCCACGGGAAGTTTATAACTTTCGTTTAGTTTAAATTTAAATTATAAATACAAGAGGAAAAAAGAAAAAAAAATATTAAATAAAAACTAGAAACTAATAATTAAAATTACGGGTCAGGTCGATATGGTGGGCCGGGTTAAGGTGGGTTCATGCCTATTTCTCTAGGGATCGGGTTTGGAGCTAGACCCAGCGCGACCCGTGACCCGTGTGTATCACGGTCTGGGTCGGGTTGGACTCACTACTGGTCGGGCCAGGCCGAGTCGTGACCCATGGAAAGCTAGGCCGGTCAGCCTGCGCGTCAACCTGGCCTGCACCCAACCCTAGATGAACCCATTGCAGATGATCTGAACGGTTGGGAGGTTCAAATATTAACTCTCACAGTCTTGGGTTCGATTCTTAGCTAGGTAATAAAAAAAGAAAAGAAAAGAAAAAAGACGATGGAATTAGATGAATTTTTCTTTAAATAGATATGGACTTTTTTGTCCTGAATAAAAGTTGTTCAAACAAGAAAACAAAAGTTTTGAAGGGACTCAATCAAATTGCTATAAATTTACAGAAACCGTCAAGAGTTTTATTTTAAGAAAAAGTAAAAAAGTTAAGATATTAAATCTTGTAAAATTAAGATCCTACATCTGGTTTAACTGCTAAAAAATATCTGTCCAACTTTTTTTAAGGAAAAAGATGAAGGTTCTAACTTGAGAGCCACAGCCATACAGCATAAACTAAAAATTTGTTTTACAAAATATACTACTAACATTACCAACTCCAAAGATGTGACGGAGATATTTTAAAAAAAACCCAGTTCAAATTAAAGGTCGGATTATGAACAATTTTAAATCCAAACAAGAACACGTCCTTTAGTTCCCTAACGCTAAAAATCAAAACATACAAAATATATAGTTAGTTAGACTAATTATTATGAATTAATCAAAACAATATTATTATGGAAGTATTATTAGAGAATTAGTTCCTAATTGAGTCAAGGAAGGATTAGAAAACTTTTTCCAGTAGAAGGCTTAAAGAAATGTGAGCATCTGCTTTGCATTCTTACCACATTCTTCACCCTGCCCCTCCACCTTCGCTCATTTTTCAGCCCCTTTTCACTCTACTGTTAGTTGAATTTGTTATAAACTCGTGAAGAGCATTATTGTAATCTCAAAATTCCTTACCCAAATAAAATAATAAAATGACCAATGCGCCGAAAGTCTGATGATCCCAACGGTCTAGTTAGTAGATCAAGATATCTAACGGCTGTTACACTAATCATGGGGGCATGGTAGAGGGCATTTTTAAAACAAAAATGCCTCGGGGAACCTAAATAGGGGACCCAATGGGGGAACAAGTGAGGTGTCCCCCATGAATACATGATGCACTGTTCATGAACAGTGCATCATTCATTCAGGGGGGTTGTAGGCGTCTAAAAATATCTATAGGTGTTTGCACACAGCTCGAGACAGAGAGAAGATGACGAATGTCGTTATCCGAGTTTAGGAGGATTATTTGAAGCCGACAGTGCATGAACCGGAATGGCGAACCAACTGTGTCTCGTACGCTCACCTGCCACCTCCAATTGGCCGTCACACCTGTCGGTTAGCCCGCGCGCGTCAATCAGCTCGTGCACGTCAGTCAGCCACAAGTGACTAGATGCACTCGTCAGTCAGCCCGACGCGCTTGTCGGTCAGATCCAAAGTGCCCGCCACGCTTATCGGTCGGTTCCAAATGTCGTAAAGAAGCTAACGAGCGCATGAAGCAAGTTAACGACGCGTGCAAGTCAATAAGACGATCAAATACGCAAAACGGGAGAAAATACAAGTCTGGGACAGTTGGGAAACATCGAAAACGTGAAAAAAAAAACAAGCTCGAAACCTGCGCTCATGCGGGACACCGCCTGGTGACCCGCGGCCGCGTGGGTCACCACGGTCTGTCTCGCGCCCAGAACTGCCAAAACGCGTTTTCGACGGTTTTTTGCGATTTTCTTGGGATTTATCAGTTCCAGAGGTTCTCAACTAACTTCATATCATCCACAAACGTGGTTAGGCCGTTATTGACTGAAGATAAGGTCAAATCACTCATTCTTATCCAAATACCCTTAACCGAAGCCTATAAATACAGGCCTAGGGACTCATTTCACGGGGCGGAGATCAAGAGGGCGAAACGCTGCCGAATTGGAGAGTGGAGCCACAAATTTACAGCGAGGGTTAGCAGTCAAGAGGGCGAAACGCTGCCGAATTGGAGAGTGGAGCCACAAATTTACAGCGAGGGTTAGCAGATCTTAGCGAGTTCATGTGCATAAAGAGAATTGGAGAGTGGAGCCACAAATTTACAGCGAGGGTTAGCAGATCTTAGCGAGTTCATGTGCATAAAGAGTGAAGTTCGAGAGATCTGAGTCCCGTCCCATATTCCTCCAGATTTAAACTTAGTCTTAATCTCGAGAAGAGCCGTAATCTCGCTTGGTCGGGATTATCATTGCAGCGATTACTTCCTTCGTGAAGTAAGAGCTTTGATTAACTTAATCTGTCAATCGGATCTGATCCACGACGGTCCACGAATATTAACGTCCCCGGCACAGACAAAGTTCCCACGCAAGCAACGGGCGATAAACATCTGTTATGCTGTTTGACAAGAGTTGTATTTTTTGTATTTTTATTGTATAAGGAGATCTTATAAAAAGATCGATTTTTCTTATTTATTTGAGTTTATTGTAACGACTAAAGTTGTAATAGATTCGATGACAATGAAAACGATGACTTTTGACCCAAACAGGGACACCTCACATTTCCGAGACAGTCGTGGTTGTCTTGGTCCCCTGAACAGTACATCATTTATTCAAAGGAGGACACCTCACTCGTTCCCCCTTGGTCTCCTATTTGGGATCCCTATAGCAACACCAATGCAAGGACAATTCTAGGTATAAAATTAAAATATTTGTTATCCCAGTTAAATATATTCTTGCACCAATCTCCAAAAAGCTTCAATCAGAAATCAGTTACTAAATGGCACGTAATGGGACCACTAGAACACTCCGGTTGTCCCCACTTAAGTATAGTATCCAATACTTATTAAAACATGTATATATTCTCTCTAACAGTTATAAATGGAAATCCCATAAATATTGATAACTAATTAAATCAAATCACACCACTTAGATATCAAATTAACCCAAGATTAATGAAGAGAGTATACGCAACAAACAAACAAGCTTGGGATGGAAGGAAAAGAAAGTGGGAAGAAAGGAACAACTATTATACAAGAACACTTTGTACATATTTACGTATTTTTAAAAAGATATAATAAAGAAATGTATTTTAAGATAAAAGAGTAAGAAGCGAGTACGCCTACATATGGATAGCAGCAGAGCGTAAATTTAGGAGGAAGAACAGCTGGAAACAACAGCATCCATCTTTGCGTCAGTAATTACTCAAACTAAATTACACACTAAATCAGAAGAATTAAGATTGATTTTAACAAAAAGGAAGTTTCTTCAATTGCTGATTAATTCACACCATATTCTTCTACTGTGGTCAGCAGTTACTTTAAAAAAAAAACAGGAACAAATTTCACATTAACTGAAAAAATTAAATTAAAATTATCAGAAGCTTCAGCAGGGTTAGAAAGCAGAGTAATTATTCAGAAACCACTAGAATCACAAACTGCTGAACTAAATCACACAGTAACTTACACTTCAGGTCGAAATTAAAATTAAAGAAAAAAGGGTGTTTCTTACATTGCCAGCTAATCTAATTTCCCCTAGAACGAATTTCCCAAAAAAAATGAAAAAGAATTAAAATGTCAGAAGCCGTAGGAACAGCAGAAAGCAGGGTAGTTACAGAGAACCCACTGAAATCAACAGCTTTCCCAATTCTAACTATATGAGAAAATTTTGGAAAAAAAAAAGAAAAAGAAAAGGAAACAATTAAATTTGTTTTGTATGCCTGTAATCTGGAATTAAGCTCCTCTTGCTTATTTTGAACGTTTTGTCATCACAAACCCAGCATCAGAAACAGCAGAAACTTCAGCATCATCCTCCATTGGAGCGGGGAGATTGAGATCAATTAGACTCTCACCAAACTTAGACGCAATTGGAGCAGCAGCAGCAGGAGCACAGGAGCTCGAAGTTAAAGTAATGGTAGCCGCCCATGAAGAGCGAAGATGCGATCTCTTGTGCCCACCAAGAGCCTGACCCGAACTAAACACTCGATAGCAAACAGGGCATTCATGGTGAACTCGCTCAGCATTGGCATCGTGGACCAGGATTCGGGCCGCAAGCGGATCCTTATTCTTAATGGGCGCCGGCGGGACGCACCCGTTCGCTTTCTTGTGACTAGCACGGTGGCCGCCCAGTGCCTGATACGATCGGAAAACTTTCTTGCACGTACGGCACTGATACCTCGAACGATTGTTTCTTGATCGATGCTCTTCGATTCCGATCTCGTATTCTTCTTCATCTTTATCCATTAGTTGTTCTGTAGACTTGGTCACTGGGGCCCAGAAATCGCGGGAGAGAATCATGAGAGAGAGTGCCACGTCCTCCTCCGGCGTCCTATTGGAGACGGAGCTAACGGGTTCGGGTTCTTGAACCTGAATCGGATCTTTCCTCGCCCGCTTGGATCTCCAGCGGTGAGTGATCGCTGGAGCAAGTGATGATTCGGTCTCGCTTTCTCGATCCTGAACGATAATGGAGGATCCGACGACGGAGGAGAACTCTGGATCTAATAACCGTAAGCTCTTATTTGGGTTCTCTCGGAGTCCGTAGCCTAGTGGGCCCATCTTTCCGTCCACGTCATCTTCTTCTTCATTGCGGGAGGATGGAGATTCTGACGGCCAGGAGAGCCTTTGTGCTGGTCGCCACGTGAGAGCGCATGTGACCACCAAGAGCTCGGCCATTGGCGAAGCTACGGAAGCAGAGCTTGCAAGTGTGCTTCTCCATTACCAAGCAGATCAAACAACAACTGTAAAAATAGATGGAGAGAGTGGGAACTAAAAAGGCGTAGGTGACAAGCGTTCCTCCACCAAAAGACAGCCAGAGGGGAGGGATTATGTTTTAAGAAAGGGAATTAAACACAAGTAATTGAGATTTGAGAAAATCAGAATTATTAATTAATCAAATGAGATTTCAATAAAAATAGGTAGTGGGCATGTATCAAATCCCCCAATTAAAGTAGGGAGGAAAGGAGATTTTTTTTTATTTTATTATATGAAAACGGCTTATTCATAAAGCCCATTCATATCCTTCACGCCTCCCTTTTGATTTAATTTTATGGAATTTATTAATTACAATCACATACGAGTTACTTCTTATTTCTTTGACATTTTAAAAATGCCTGTGGGTGTTTTAGGAAGTTAAGATACCGGGTGTTTTAGGAAGTTCTGATGCTGGATTTTTTGTTAATATTTTAAGTTGCTTTTTGTTGAGATTTATTCTCATGCCAAACGGTCGCTAATGACTATAGTCGTATCCTCTATGCCGGCTAATATATTATTTAAAATAGTAAAATAAAATTTGTAAGAATTTGGATTTTTTTTTTTGTAAAAACTAAGTGTTCGATAAAGAGAAGCTTAGCTTTTGGAATAAATGACGATCAGTTCCGAGATGGTTCTACATCGACCAAGTCCAAAGAAAAAGCTATGAAAATGTATCATTTTATGTGTCCATTCCCAGTGTCCGCGTTCACACGCGTGGCGCTTCTGCCAGCATTCCGCTGCTCTCTATGTCTAGTCCGATATTCACGCCCACGCCCAATCAGCACGGGGTGGTTCAAGCAATATTTTGGCATTATAAATTTTGGGATTAAATTTTTTTTTTAATTTTGGGATTCTATATTTAATGTTTGTTTTGAGAAAATTTTGGCATTATAATTTTTGGGATTAAAAAATAATTTTTTTTAAAATTTGGGATTCTATATTTAGTGTTTGTTTTGAGAAATTTTTAAAAATGTTGAATCTCAAAAATGCAGAAAGTATCCAATTTTTAGAATTTGCCAAGTCCTTTTAATTGGCAAATCTCATTAATGAGTGTGCTTAGTGTTGTTTATTCGGGCCCGAGCTCGGCGGGCCAAACTGGGTTCCGAGTCCGGGTCCAGGCTGCAACGTTAGCGCCCGCACCAGGGTAGCTGGGCCGGGCCTTGTAGGCGTATAAAACTGCCTATAGGTCCCTGAATACAGCTCGGCACGGTGATTCGATAAACCAACGAGCCATCGGGTGACGTATCTAAACACGAACGTCAGTCCACAACACCGAAGCCAAGTGACACGCAACGAAGCGGATTAACGAGGCGATAAGGTTAACGAACCATCGGGCGATGTATCTAAGCGTAATCGTTAGACCGCGACATCGAAGCTAAGTGAGATGTGACGAAGCAGATTAACAAGGATGCGAGGCTAACGAACCGCACGCAAGCAACGGAATACATCCACTCGCGTGCAGAATCAAGCTAACAGTTCGGTGAATCAACGAGTCATCCAACCATACCAGATCTGTGCCCGGGCACAGTTCTGAGTGCCTATAAATAGAGGGGCATGACTCATTTGTGAAGGGTTGGAATTTTGGAGCCGAAACTCTGCCGGATTGAGATTTGGACTTGAACTTTCGGAGCTTTGATACACGGACTTCCAGATCTGGTTCTTGGCGATCATCCACGCCAAATAAGGCAGGAGTTCGAAAGAGATTAGATCTGAGATCTACACGGTTTTCCTCCGGATCAAATCTTGGCCTTTGATCCCGAGAAGAGTCTCGATTTCGCTTGGTCGATTTCGATAACTACGGGCTATTATTTCCTTGGTGAAATAATCCCCTCGGCTGTTATTTCCTTCGTGAGATAACACCCGTTATACCGTGTAGATCCGACCGGATCTAGATCGCGCGGTGGTCCACGGATTAACCCCGGCGCAGGCAAAGAACCCACAAAAGCGAGTGACCGCAAAACAGGAGCTCGTGATTCGTTCGATTGGAACTTTTGGAGGCGAAGCTCTGCTGGATTGAGATCTGAATCTTGGAGTTTTGAAGCTTTGAAGACTTGGACATTTTCAGATCTGGTTCTTGGCAAGCATCCACGTCAAAAAAGGAAGGAGTTCGAGAGAGAGAGAGATCAGATCTGAGATCCACACGGTAATACTCCGGATCAAAACTTGGTTTTTTGATCCCGAGAAGGCTATTATTTCCTTGGTGAAATAGTACCCCCGGCTGTTATTTCCTTCGTGAAATAGCACCCGTCATACCGTGTAGATCCGACCGGATCTAGATCTTGCGGTGGTCAACGGATTAACCCCGGCGCAGGCAAAGAACCCACAAAAGCGAGTGACCGCAAAACAGGAGCTCGTGATTCGTTCGACAAATAAGGAAAGTTGTAATTTTCATTTTCTTTTGATTTTATTGTAACCGGATCTTATAAAAAGACCGGATCTTTGTAACCGATAAATTGTTAACAAAGGAATCAATGGAATCAGCAAAGAAAACAATTTTCCCCGCGAACAATCTGGCGACCATAGTGGGAGCCAACGATCTCGCTGCCGAGATCATCGCGTCGCAGCCGCGGATTTCAATCCCGGTCGAGGAGGAGGTCGAGTATGAATTCGACCAGGCCAAGTTCGAGGAGTATCTTTTATCCTCGTCTGGATCCACCTCCCCCCGCAAGTCCAAGAAGTTCTCCTCCAGGAGAAAAGTTCGTTGGTACGAAGAAGTTCAGAACGCCAACGAAGCTCTCACCCCAGCTGACGCCAAAGTTGCATCAGGTGAAGTTCCACCGACCTCCAACGAGGTCAAACCTGTTCTTGTCAACGCTTCTACCGTTGAGGGCGTTGTGACTCTCTCGAAGAGAGCCCGCCAGAGGCGACGTCAACGCCTAGCGCAGCAACTCGCAAAGGCGATGGAGTCCACCGACGGAGTCCGCTATCACGCGGATCTGAAGAACAGGAGAGGCAAACAGCCTCAACAACTGAAGGCATTCGCAAGCGCCGCGCACTGTCAGCGCAGGCACGGGCTCAAGTCCAAGAAGCCCGTAGAAGACTGCAGAAGGACGTGGCCAAAACCCCGCCACCAACCCGCCAAGTATGGAAGCCGAAGTCTGAAGCGGCGATTCAGGCTAAGGCAAAATTGTTGCAGCCTTCGAAGCAAGGTCAACATCCGGCGAATCAACCAAAGTCGCCGATAATTCCAATAGCTTCTCCGGGAGATCATGCAGAATCATCCCGAAGGAAGAAGCCAATTTTGGAGCGCCTCGGTCCAATTTACAATGAGAGAGGCAAAGCTCCACTTCAAGAACGTTTGGGCCCGATGAAGAAGCCCCGAACGACTCAACATGCTGGGGGTCGCCACCACCTTCAGCACGACAAGGAGTTCAAGGCAGCTGCGCGCGCCAATTTGCGTATCGAAGTCCAGGAGCCCGCTGAGAACTTACGCCGAAAAGGGCATGTCTCGAGGCGTGTGACTTTTGAAAGCCCGAAGAAGGCAGTCCGCCCTCAGAAGGAAACATTATTGTCTGATGACGATAACGTTATACCTGAGAAGTCGTGCCAACACACGATAGGTCAAGCAGACGAATTGTACTATCGTGTTGGGGGTACGAGTAAAACCAGGAAGAGGAGTCCCCGAGGACTGGAAACTCAATGCCCCTGTTCCAAACTCATTCGGGCAGTATTGTCTGAGTGCAACTGCATCAAGACAGTTCCTGAAAGAGTTTCGGTTTTCGAAAGGCTCAGTACCGAAACGCCGAAACCAAGGCCTAGGCGTTTCCGACGAAGAAGAAGGATAGTCGAAGATGGAGAATTTCCGAGGGTCACCACCAATATGACCAGCAAAAGGACATCGATACAGGATAATTCCGAGTCAATTCCGCCAGTACCCCGGTATCTAACTCGTCTGCAGTCTGGAGCCATTACACGAGGAACTTATGGTAGGGTTTAGACAAGACTACCTTCAGAAGATGAAGAATCTGATGCCGGCTCCACGGTTGCATCAGATAATACAGTATCCAGCGAGGGACAACCCCGCGAGGCACTTATGATAAGTGTAGAACAAGTGGCCAAGATGCTTGAGGAAGCCCTGGCTAAACAACAGGAGACCTTCAGGTTCGAAATGCAGATGACCATGCAGAACATGAGAGAAATGCATGACCAACAAATCCAAGCATTGACGAACCAGCAAGGCGAACCAAGTCGTCGTAACCAAGTTCATCAGGAAGATGAGGATACAAATGAAGATCATAATGCCAATAATCCTCCCGTCAATGCAGGGGGTGGTAACGAGAATGCTAGCGAAGACACAGGTGAAAGCCTGAAAATTAAAAACCTCGAGAGCAAAATCAATACATTGATTTTCGCTCAAGAGATGAAGAAAACAGGCATTCCTTGTCCATACCCAAGAGAATGAGAATCGATCCCATATCCGGCGAAGTTCAATCTAATTAACTTCACGCCGTTTAATGGGAGGGGTTCACCTACTCAGCATTTGATTTACTTCAAATCGCACCTGGGGGTTATCTCTGGTAATGAGCCTCTGATGGTACGGTCCTTCGTTGGCACTCTTCGTGGAGCCGCCTTCGATTGGTATCGCCGCCTCAAGCCAGGAAGTGTGAATAGCTGGGACGACATGGAAACTAAATTCCTCGCTAATTTCTTCGACGACGACACCGAGATATCCATCGGAACGTTGCTCGACGAGAAACAAAAGGACGGGGAATTGGTGGACACCTTCGTCAAGAGATTCCGAAACAAGGCGATGAACTGCTGGGACCCGATCACTAAGGAGTTTATTCTCCAGACTTGCCACAACAACCTCGCATTGGACGTGTTGGAAGCAATGGGGACAGCACCGTCCAAAACCTGGAAGGATTTGAAGGGAGGAAGAAGGCGGAAAGAGGCCAACAGGCGATGAATGCTCCGCAACAGAATTTCATCCCACGAGGGAAAGGTAAGGCACATGCTAATGCAGTTGATGCTAATCAAACTTTCCAATTGCAACCTCAGCAACAGCCGCAGCAACAAGCGCAACAACAATCTCGGGGGCAATGGCAACAACGGCCTCAGAAGCAGAAATCTTCGGAGACGAGGTTTCCTAAAGTGTATTCCTTCAAAGATGATGAGGTTCCCAGCATCTTTAAGTACCTATTGGAGAATAACAAAATCCAGCTGCATGCGATCGTGGATCAAGAAGGG